AAAAATGACCTTCTAGTTCATTTGTTGTTTTAATATTTTTACCTGAGTTGCAGTCTGTGAATAGCAGAGCTCCCAGACAAGTCTGGGAGAAAGTGAAGTTTCAGGAAGGGTGAAGCAAACCTGCCCACTAGTCTTGGCACCATGTAGTGTCATGGTAGTATAATGCCATGCTCAAGAAATTAGGTGGTACAGGCTGGTAAAGACCAACACTAGCAACATATTTGAGATGCACTCCAAGGCACCCCCATGTAAATGCCCCCAAAGAAAATCATCAATGTTGTTTTCTTGGCATTTATCCTGGCAATATTTGTAATATAAAGGGAAGCAAAGACCTGGTTATTGTTTATGAAGGTAGCTTGCTTACTGTAAAGCTACCCAGTAAAATTTTACTACACTAATAATATTCAAAGAAAGAATAATGATGTCTTCAAAACAATCAGGATAGTCAGTTTCACACCTTGGCCTTTTGTGTGTGTATGTAAGGGGTATTAATACATTAAATCTTTGTTAAGATTTGTGATTGGAAGCCAAGTTGCAATTTTTACCAGTATCAGAAATGTCCTCTATTATGTTTCTGAGAGCATCCCCTACCACATTAATCCTAGATTCAGGTTTGTACAGTGACTATAGAGTTTATGTAAAGATTTTATCTTTTCCCTCTTTGACCACAGTAGTCATTTCATTGTAACATATGCAATTAAACAGGAACAGTGCAAAAGCAGTGAAATTGATAGGATTCTCATTTGAATTTGCTGAATGCTGTTATTGTTTTGCGGTCATGCCTGACTGCTGTTGACAAAGACCTAAGGATATGAGAGGATTATCCTAAAATAGAAAAGTTAATTTCATTTTATTACTATTTTAATAATATTATTCGATGTCTTCAAGTAAATTATAGACCTCTTGGGGACTGGATCGCAGAGTTCAAAACATCCCTACTGTGGTTGGATCAAAATCTAATATTTGGCTGCAGCAGGCTCTAGAAATACAGGGTTTGTTGTAGTCATTTTCTTAAAAAAGGTATAGTAAGAAAGGATCAAAGAGAATATAGAGTAGGGAGACCCTCCTGTCACCATAGCATTTGGGGATGGTTTCTTCTTGTCCCCCTCTTTTATTAAAAATAGATTTTTTTCTCATATAATATATCTTGATTATAGTTTCTCTTCCGTCTACTACTCTTCCCAGTTCCTTGATACCTCCACTCCCATCCAGATCCACTCCCTTTCTGTCTCTCATTAGAAAAGAACAGGCTTCTAAGAGATAACAACCAAACATGACAAAACAAAATGTAATTAGAACAAAAAACACCCTGAAATCGAACAATACAGTTCATCAGAAGAAAGAGTCTTAAAAGCAGAAACAAAAATCAGATACCCACTCATTTGCATTCTCAGGACCCCCATAAACTCACTAAACCAAGGCTGGGGACAGAGGAGAAGGGAGGAGGGACTGGAAGGAGAGAATGGAGGTTAAACTGTGGTGGTGATATTTTAAAAAACTGAAAAAAATTACTAAACTGAAAGCTATAATATGGACCTGGTGCTGACCCATGTCAGTCCTGTGCTTGTTGCTTCAGTCTCTGTGAATTCATATGAGCTTTGCTCACTTTGGTTTAGAGATCCTTTGTTATCCTGGTGTTCTCCATCCACTCTGGCTCTTATACTCCTGCCTCCTCTTCCATGTGGTTCTCTGAGCTCTCCTTGAGGGGAGGGAGTTGATGGAGAAATCCCATTTAGCTGTGTATTCCAAGGTCTCTCTCTTTGCATAATGTCTGGCTGTGTGTCTATGTATTTGTTCCCATCTGATACAAAAGGCAGCTTCTCTAATGATGACTGAATAAGGCACTGTTCCTAGGTCTCTGGGTTACCTGGTCTCTCTTTCTTGGTCACCCAACCAGAGTCAGGTATGGGTTCAATCTTGTGGAGTGTGCCTTAAATCAAATCAGACATTGGTTGGGTACTCCCACAAACCTTTCACCACCATTGTACTAGCACATTTTTCAGGAAAGATACCATTGTAGATCAAAGATTTTGTGGCTGGAATAGTGTTTACATTTTTCTTTTGATAGCCTGAAGGGTACCGTCCCATACCAAGACACCACAACATGGTGGTGAAGGTTCTATGTAGCCAACAGCTCAAGCTCTCTATGTTCAATGAGTTGTATAGATGTGGTCTTTAGCAATGGCCCACCTATCCATTTGATGAGAGCAATGTATTCTTTTGGCAACTCGCTGGGTTGTTTGGGAATATCCAAGGGACCCCTTTGGCCACCAACTCAATTGGATGTAACCCACCCACAGTACTGGAAGCTTTGTTTAGTGATAAGAGATGGCCAACTGGGACTTGGGATGTTGTCTTTTGACCCAAGGGAGACTTGGGTAGAAAACACAAGTTGCAGAGTTACAAACAAATTGAGGATAAATAGGTGATGTCTTTAATTATTCTACTTAGTATTAAATTCAGTTTCACAAACTCAAACTCTTCCATGAGTTTCAAGTTATGTCCTTGCTTTCTGGTTACTTTCTTCAAGGCTCAAGGTTCTGTGATTTAAAAAAGATATGTCCACTGGTATAGATGAAAAGTAAAAGAAAATTCATAAGGCCAAATCACTCACTGGAGAGTACCTGAAAATACTATTCACTCAAGATCCAGAGCATGTGTGGCTGGGGAGATGGTTCAGTGGACAAAGTGCTTACTAGTCAAGGATGAGAACCAATGTTTGGATCTCCAGAACCCACATAGAAAGCCAAAAGTCGTGGCCACCTGTAATCCCAGCATTTAGGACCCAAACAGGGTATCCCAAGAACAAGCTGGATAGCCAAACTAGTCAGTATTGGTGAGATCTAGGTTCAAGGAGAGATTCTGTCTCTATAAATAAAGTAGAGAACAATTAAGGAAGGCACCTGATATCAATCTCTGGCCTGCACATGCATATTCACTCAGAAGCACACTGCATGCACATGAACACACACATGAACATACACATGAGCACACATTCATAAGCACACTAAATACACATGAGCATATACTAAAATGGTATAAAGAATGTGAATGGATTTTCAAAACAGAGTTTTTCAACGTTCTTCTCACCTGACATAATTCCAGGTGTAATTTTTAAGTCACAATTTGGAGAAAGCATGTAGTGTAATTCAAAGACAGACTTCAGGGAGCCTGGACTATCCTGAAATGCTATGCAAATATTTGTGGCTTGGTGTAGATGTGTACTTGTGAATTTCTTCTCTCAGAAAGGTTTCATTAGATTCTTGGAGAACTGTTTCTTGAGAATTGGGTGAGGTATAAATTGCCTGGAGATCAAAGGAACTAACCCTTTGACTTGCAAATGAACCAAAAGGGAAAGAGGGGGAGGTGAGTTTGGAGTACCTCAGGAAGTGGAAGGGTCTGGCACTCTCCCAGGGACTAGTACTGAGAAAGGAAACTTCATGACAGCCTAGTCACCAGGGAAATGGGAAAAGGTTCTATTGGAGTGGAGATTGATGGGTGGAGAGAGGAAAGTTGGGCCTGATACCAAAAAGAAGTTTCTAGCATCAGTCAGCTGCAAAACAAAATGGGCTTCCTTTTTCCTATGTGTTCTTCCAAGCCTCATAAATCCTCAGCCTGTTTCCCAACCCACATCCTGCAGAATGAAGCCAGAAGAGCAATTCTACTTCACTCTTGACCAGTGATCCCAGGGATGCAGTTGGTCAAAAGTGGACACTTTCCCAAGGCCCACACTGGGCACCAAGCTGCCCCTAAGTGCTGCTGCTGTCTCAGGTGTCTCCAAATCCACACTAATACAGGACCATAGGCCACCTTGGTGATTGTTTTTAAATCTCTTCCATTAGAAATTGGATGGAGTTGGCTGACCTGTGCTGGGTTTACTGCTGTATTGAACTAATGATAAGGCTATTTTATTTTGTTAGAGGGGCTACTTCTGTGATGAAACACCATGACAATATAATTCCACATACTGTTCATCAAGGGAAGTCACATCAGGAACTCAAGGAGGGTAGGAACCAGGAGAAGGCAGGAGCTGGTGCAGAAGTCATGAAGGAGTACCACTCTACTGGCTTGCTCATCCTGCTTTCTTGCAGCACCCAGGATCACTAGCCTCAGGATGTCACCATCCACAGTGAACTGGCCTCTCCCACTTCAATCACCAGTCAAGAAAATGTCCCCATTGATTTCTTCACATGACAATTAGTGGGGAAGTTTTTCAATTAAAATTCCCTCTTCCCAAATGACTCCAGCTTGTGTCAAGTTGACATAAAATTAGTCAGAATAGCTTCCCTCCTTGTCTCATTTGTTGAAATAAGCAGACTGTCCCCCAAATGATGTCCCCATGGCAATAGTAGAGATGCAGGGAACCAACAGAAAACCTCAAACTTACTCTTGCAGCAAACACATTGTCATTTGTGCTCAAGTGATCAAGTCATATGACCCAATGGACATCCACATGACAAGGCAGCTGCAAAGCCACTTTGGCTTTTATATCGGCAGGATAAGTATTAAAGGCAAAATGCAATCAACTATGTCAGTGCTGATGAAGTCAGCTTTTAGTACATGCATCAGTTACCCTCAACATCTGTGAGTTTGTTTATTCATGAGTACCAAGCTTCAGTGACCAGTGTCATTGATGGGGGTGGGTAAGATAGAGTGGGATCAATCGGAGGTTACTTTTGTTTCTTCCTCACAACCTTTAATAACATATCTTGTGCATGTTCAGTGCATAAGGTCCCAGACAAAAATGCCTTTGCTGCATCTGTTCACACAGACCAGAGGTTGCAATATAAGCATCATCAGTGGCTTGTTCAGGTGGGATACTCACAAGGAGCATATAATACAAAATGAAATCTAAATATAGATAGCACACTGAACACTATCTTATTGGTTGTCCTATACAAAGAGTGAGAAAGCTCTCCATTTTTCAATGTTTACAGTTCAAATAACCTAAAGTTCTGCAAACATTGCCTGTGATTGCACCTGTCTGGTTGGCTTTGCAGGTCTGTGTAACTCAGCTGATAGCTGGATGATTGTGCCCAACATCAAGCAGAACCACTACACTGTGCATGGCCTACAAAGTGGCACCAAATATATCTTCATGGTCAAAGCCATCAACCAGGCAGGCAGCCGCAGCAGTGAGCCTGGGAAGTTGAAGACAAACAGTAAGTGCTGTGAAGTCAGCTAAGCTGTCATCTCTCATTTGCTCATCTCTTGGCTAACACTACTCCTCCCCCACCTTTCTTTTTCCTTTTGAGTCTTTGGCATCACTGACAAGCTCACAAAAGCAAGTAAAGAACCAGTGTGAAGTACTGAGGTTCCCAGCAGCTACCTCTGGGTTCCAAAGTTGATTCTGTGTCTTCTAGGCTGTGTGGCCATTAACCTTTTTGCATATATTTCCTCTCATTTCTTGAAAAAATAATCCTGGAGAAGTTCCTGTGAGAAACAGAATAGGTGCTTATAAATCCTGTTACAGAACAGGGTTCTGTAAATGGTAGATAAGGTTGTTTTCCATAGGAGAAAACAAGTTCATGACTCTTTCTTCAGGAATTCATTATTTTATTCCAAATATATGTCTGGGTCTGTAATTCTCCATCAGGGGCAATTCTGTCTTTTCTTCCACAGCCACAGTCCATGTAGCATTTAATAATGTCTGGAGACATTTTCCTGGATTATCACAACTGAGGAGGCTGCTGGCATCAGATGAGTAGGAGACAGGCATTTAAACATCTGTGGTATACAGGACAGCTCCCAACACAAAGAATGATGCAGCCTGTCCTTGTGTCTCATGGTTCTGTCATTTTACTGTTGCTGTCACTGCCAATGTCTCTGTCTACATGTGTTTTGTTTTAACCTCTTTTCTTTCTCTACATCTTTTTGATCTAGAAATATTATGCTATGTCAATATGGCGCCAAGCCATGGGGTTGCCAATCAACAGAAACTATTAATGAGTTTTCAAGAGGAACTCCCATTTAACCATATCCTTGTTTCTCAAAGCATGGTAGCACATGATTTGATCTTAAGACAAGCAAAGGCTAGAAAAAGTGCACTGGATTAAGCATGAGAAAGCTGAGGTTCAGCCACATGGCATCCATGTGGCTGTAAGATTTGTCTTTTCATATTTTCTTAAACAAAACCTTTTTATGATTGTAGATGATTGTAGATTCCCAGAAAACCTGTAACCATGACAGAGAACCCTGTATACCCTTTACGCAGCTTCCCCTAATGTCAACATCTTACATAACCTTGACAGATTTGTCACAACTTAGGAAGTTAACATTGGTACATTTCTGTTGCCTAAGCCCTAGGCTTTATTTAGATTTTACAGTTTTATCTCTAGCATCCAGTTCCTTTCACAGGGTCCAGTCTAAGAACTCATCCCACATTTGGTAAGTCTTCATCGTTTTCCCATTTTAAAAGAAGATTTTGGTTCTTCACTTTTAAAATGGGAAATTTTAGCCTCATTTATAAATTGTCACAAAGATAAATTTGAAACAATTTTGGAAACATAAGAATAATATTTTGCCATGCTTTGTTAAAAACCACAGAGCACATGGAAGTGAACTTATGCATATGCCAGTCAACAGCATTTTATATACACTTGAGCATGCTTTGGTCTCACAAAAACTGTTGGAGCACCCAGTAAATTTTTGATGCTGTGCAATAGGCTGAGTACACTGTGACAACAGATGGTCTTCTCTTAAATCTTCTCTCAAGGATTTGTGACTGTTGGAGAAGACAAAACATTAAGCCTTAGTTGCCATTGCTTTTCTGAAGTCTGTAATGGCAGTAACTCATGAATGTGCTGGATATTCAAAAGAGCATCACCCTGTATAGCCATGGTGGCTTTTCAGGGTGAGGTGAGAGTAAGAGACCTGAAGAAAAGGGAATGTCCCATGACAAAGGAACACCACGTATAAAGGCCCAAAGGAAAGATTATGTCTGGGCAACAGAAAAGGAAACACACACAGAGAGAGGGCGGGGAGTTGAAAAATAAAAACTAGCCAAGCCTGTTCTCATATGACTGTTATTCTAGCTAAAGGAAGATGCTAAATTCAATGTTAGCTTAATCTACCAAGTGAGTTCAAGACCAGCCTGAGCTATTTAGTGAGACACTGTTCAGATATGGCTCAGGATATAACTCCATGGTAGAGAGATTTACTAGAGTTTAACTAGAATGTTTGAACCCATGGTTCCAATTCCCAGCATCCAAAACAAAACCAAACAAAATCAGATGGTAAACCCATTATGAGTTATAAGGCAGTTGGTTTTCAAGAACAGTATTTGAGGGAAGATAAGGTGACAAGTTTATATGGTAGAGGCTGGATGAAGATCTGCAAAGCATAAAGCTTTGTTGCACTGTGAGGTGATGAATGGATTAAAATGAAGGAAGATTGACAGCTGGAGAATGTGCCCAGAGATTATTATGAGAGTTGTCCAAGCAAAAGAACAGTAGCCAGGATAACGTCATGTCCTCTACAAATGGTCTGATGAAGTTCTTTAGGAGCACAATCATTAACTTCTTTCTCAAGCTAATTTGACTTCATTGAAGCCAAAGCCTGAAGGTTGGTAAAAATGGGCAGTGGTTTGTTTTTGAAAGGCCTCTATGGTCCAGACAGAATTGTCTCCATAAGAATGCAAGGCTTGGGTCCCACTGAAGCTGGTAAGCCCCTGATATGTATGTGAGTGGCTGAGGGAGGGAGTGAAACCAAGCAGGACTTTGCAGGCAGTTCTCCACCACAAGCCCTATCTTTCTGAACATTCTGCTATTCCTCACTGGCAAAAGGCCAAACACCACTCAGGCCTACATAAATGGTGAGCTCCAAGACAGATTTTTTTCCTGCTCTACCCATTAGTGTCAAATTATTTTTACTCACATTTGTCTTGCACCTTTAAAAATTGGAATATTTTAAGAAAATATATCTGTGATCTTTTCTGAGCTTATCCTATGTCTTATCCTTAACAGTTGCTGGCATGAGTGTCCTTGGACACTTTTAATTTTTTACAAGGCAAGCCAAATTTAGACTTTAAAATTGAAAATATAGGTGTAATCTAGTAGGTCTGATAGCCTCTGAGAGCTGCTTTCTTGGTCCTTGGCATTTTTTCTCTTAAGTCAGGTTTATATTCTTTTATCCTTTTTTATTTTGTTTATTTTTAATGTGTAGACATCAATTTTATCCAAGTGTAAGTTCCAAAAGTTGGAAGTTTAAGTTTATCATAATACCAAAGTGGTACATTAGAAATAAATTTAAGACCTATGTTCAAACATATATAAGCCCCAAAAGTCTCCATAGGATAAAACACAGCAAAAAATTCTTTTGAAATTTTCAGATATGAGTACTGTACTTACATTATTCTTCCTCTCATTCTTCTCTTTTTAATGCCTTCCACATCCCTCCCACCCTTCTCAAATTCATAGCCTCTAATTCTTTAATTCTCAATCCTACACACACACACACACACACACACACACACACACACACACAATATAAGACTTTTAAATTCCATATGCTGAGATCATTTAGCACTACTTACATGTGATTAAGGCTGACCTCTTTGGATTGGCTAGCCTATCAGAGGGTTTGCCCCTGAAGAAAACTGATTCTCCCTTTCTTAGCAAACATGAATTTGCCTGTGGCTCCTCCTAACAGTGAAACCTTATGAGAATTTTCCAGTACACAATGGCATGTTAACTGGCTTCCCTTTGATATCTACAGAAATATAAAACAAGGATCAATAAACTGTAGATCAAGGACCAAATCTGACTGCCTACATTTATAAACAAAGTTTTATTTACATATACCCATTCATTTATCAATCTGTGACCACTTCCTCACTATAAAGACAGAGTCACGAAAGAAACCACATGGCCTACATAGCTGAAAATATTTCTTACCCTTTGCAGAAAAAGTGTGCTGGTCACTGACCTAAAGGCAAAGATTTCTGAGGTTCTGGTGTTATGTTTAGATACAAGCAGAACCACCTATATTTAAGTGAACACATGGTTCCCCATGATGTCTCCAGCACAAACATGCATTGCTTACAGTTTTATTTACCAGGCTTTTTTTCCTGTGACTCCCTGGCACCCTTGTAATAAGCAGAAGGTCTCTCCCAAGTGCAATAGTGGCTATAAGGTTGGACAGTGTGTTATTACTACCAGATTGTAATATGTTTCCTGTCTTTAAAATCCCAGTATTCTATTTTGGTGTCAAGTGATAGATAGTACTCAGACCCAATGTTGAATTGACAGAGAATTAACAGCTACATAAAAAAGCCCATAGACAACTTTCCAGGATTTTAAATGTTGAACTTTTCAAATCACAAGTGTGAATAATGAAGGAGAAATGTATTAATAAATCAAGAAATAGAACATTTAAGCATTACTGTCATTTGCCCTTGCTGAAAAAATTTAAATGTATAGTTCTAAAATGTCATACTTTTACTTTTATCAAGCTCAGAATGACATGTTTAGAACACTATGTTAAGACTTGAAATCTTAATTTATTTGTTCTTTGTCCTGGAGTCTATTTAGCACATATATATTTTAGGCCTGATTAAATATGGAAGTCCTTGAAAATAAGGTCTTCATTTTTCTCCTCCTTTCCAGACAGAATGTACCTGTGCTGGGCTCCTCCACGTGTTTGGGTTGACCCTTGTCCATTTCTTTCTGAATATTTACAGAGCAACACTGGACCCCTCTCTAGAAACTCAAGGAAGCACAGCTACACTCTTGTCCAGCCCTACTGTTCTTAGCACTATACACAGAGTTACTGCTGCATAATTTCTTGAACATCAGGAAAAGTGTAAATAAATAAATGCCTTTAAAAAGTTGTTTCTAAACCTTAAATTGTTATTAGAATACAAGATACTTTTCTGTTTTAGGAAGTTTAACTCCAGGAGTAATGGCTTGTTTTAGACTTTTCAGCCCTTTGTCTATATTTCACATGTATGGGTATTTTGCCTGCATGTGTTCCTGTGAACCATGTGCATTTCTTATGCCCAGTGAAGTCAGAAAAGGGCATCAGATAAACTGGAACTAGAGGTACAGACAGTTGTGAGCTGCCAGGTGGGTGCTCGGAACCAAACCCAGGTTCTCTGGATGATCAGTTGGTGCTCTTAACCACACTATACTATCTCTCCATCCCTTGGTTCAGATATTCAAATCTGGCTATGAAGATATACCATTTGTTGCATTCTCATAAACAGTACTTTTCACTTCTTTTTCTTTTGTGAACTTGTTTATAGGTCAGCCGTTTAAACTGGATCCCAAATCTGCTCATCGAAAATTGAAGGTGTCCCATGATAACCTGACTGTAGAACGAGATGAGTCATCATCCAAAAAGAGTCACACACCTGAACGCTTCACTAGCCAAGGGAGCTATGGAGTGGCTGGAAACGTGTTCATTGATAGTGGCCGACATTACTGGGAAGTGGTCATAAGTGGAAGCACATGGTAGGCAGCTTCTATCTATTTTCCTCCAACTGGAAAAAGGCACAAGTTATTCTGTGCTTTGTCAAGGATCTCAACTTTGTCAAAATTATGTTATGAATTCTGAAGAATGAAACCTACCCCTACAATAATGCTACCTAACAAACACCCCCAAAATCAGTGTGTCTTCAACATCAACCATTTACTAATGCTATTAAGCACATGTATTTTTGGGTTAGCTGATGTGGATTAATCTCAACTGGGTATACACTTTAAGCTACAGGTTGGGTCTAGGTCTAGTTTGTGTCTTTGTTCCAAGCACTGCAGAAATATTACATGGTAGTGCAGGCCTATAATACCAGTATTCAGGAAGAGATAGAGTTCAAGGACATTGTCATATGTACGTGTGTGTGTGTGTGTGTGTGTGTGTGTGTGTGTGTGTGTGTTGAGTTCAAGGCCAAAAGAAAAAAGTAGGTGATGTCATTCTCATTTTACAGATGAGGTGACTAAGGAAAGGGCCCAAAGTCATAAAATTCACAGTTGGTAGTTACAAATTCCATGGTCAGAGGTCTGACTTTTAACTAGGAGCCCATGAATAAAGAACAAGAGAGTTAATCTCTTGATTTTTACAGGCCAGGAAATTTTTGTCCCTAGTACTCAGGCTGGGGCTGTTATAGTGGGGAAGTAGCCACAGACAATGCGTACATAAAAACATAAATGGGTATGGCTGAGTGCCAATAGGGAACTTCATTTGTGACAAATAGGCAAGGGGCCAGAGTTGACCCCTGGGTTGTAGTTTGTTGATCTCTGCTTTAACCACCCCAGCATGCCATTACTTACTGAAGGTTGATATAGTTTTGAGGTATTATAATTATTCTTCAACGCATGAAGGAGTGTACTTAATGAGTGATAGCTGACATGAAAGAAGAGAAGTTGTAGAAAAGGATTCAAGCAGGAGAGAAAGGGAGATGAAAGAGGTAAGAATGACTAAAGTTCATTATATCAATGTATGAGGGTGCCAAGCAAGATAAAAAATTAAAAGCAAAAATAAAACTTAAGACCAGCATTCAAAAGTGCACAACCTGAAAGTCATGAAGATACCAGCAGTGTTTGGTTTAATAAAAGCATGACAATGCACTTCTAATATAAAAGTCATTTTCATTTGAATCTATGTAAATAATGAAATGTACACAAAGGGCACATAGCTGGGTACAAATCAACCCAAGTCTAACGAGGTGTGCACAAGTGGCTCTCCTCACTCTCTTAATAATGGTATCTGCATTAGCTTAGCAGGTAGCTTTTGATCTTTACTTATCCTCCTGATTCTCCTTGCTTAGACCATTTTCATGTTCTTTCATTTTGTCAGAGGATGGAGAACATGTCCTACTTCTTCCACGGCTGTGGTATTCATTGGTACTACAATTTATGTGTGTGCTTTTGTGTGTGTATGTGTGAGTGTGTGTGTATGTGTGAGTGTGTGTGTATGTGTGTGTGTGTGTGTGTGTGTGTGTGTGTGTGTGTGTGTGTGTGTGTGTGTGTGTGTGTGTGTGTGTGTGTGGCAGTGGCCAGCTGCTTCCTCCATTGCCCTCCACCTTATTTTTGAGACAGGGTCTCTCAATGAACCTGGACTTTAAGGATTCAACTGGATTGGCTGACCACCAGGGATCCTTTTGCCTCCATTTCTCCAGTGCTAGGATTACAGGCACAGATCACCACACCTAGCTTTTTTTATCCTTCTCTCTTTTTAACAATTTGATTAAAACACAATTACTTCATTACTCCTTCACTCTCCTCCTTTCTTCCTCTACCATGTCTACCCACTCCTCCCAAATTCGTGGACCCTCCTCTTCTTTAACCATTGTGGTTACAGATACATGTAAATGCATATATACAACCTGCTGAGTCTGTTCAGTGTTGCTGCATGCATGTTTGTATGGCTGAGCACTCAGTATTTGATATCCAGTCAGGGGGCTCATCCCTGGGGAAGACTGATTCTCTCTCTCTCTCTCTCTCTCTCTCTCTCTCTCTCTCTCCCTCTTCTCTCCTCTCTCTCTCTCTCTCTATTTGCTTACAAGTTTTCATGTATGGGTTCTGTGATGTTTACTGTTGTTAAATTGTTCAGGTGCTGTTTAGGTAGCAATGTTGTTGAAATGTCATGAGTGTAGCTTCACTATCCTAGCTAGCTTTATACATGGAATTTGGAGAACCAAGACTGAGTTCTCAGAACCAATTGTACCATCTCCCGAGACTGGCACTTGAAATTTTTAGCTATGCTGAGGCAAGATAAAAACACAAAAAGAAATAGAATTCCTGTGCAGAACAGCAAACATTTCTAGTTAATTGGTGTGCTTTATTAATCTGGTATTTCAGAATCTAGTGTCTAAATGATTATAACCCCATTAATAATTATTGGCTATAAATGATACCTGGTCATTATGATCTCATTGCCATTGATGAATAGTGTGGAAAATTCCACCAGACCACTTTAGTTACATAAACACAGATCAGTGTTACCTTTAAAACAGGTTCCAGATGTCAAAATAACTCATGTGTGGGAAAAATAAATTCTACAATTAGTTGCTATACACTGGGTCTTTACATGAAAACCTGATTGTGTCTATTAAAGAGAAATCACATGTAGAAAGTAGTTTCAAATTTCCTAGATGGTAACAGCAAGCAAAGGTTGCCCCCAACAATTAAATGCCTGTGACTTACAACAGTTAGTGACACACACATATATTTTTATAAAATATATGCTTGATTTTAAGTTAACATGTACATTATGATTCATGTAATGAGACACGTTAACATAGCTCTGAGAAACAGATTTTGTACTTTTTAATTTTCTTTATGTCTCACCGAGAAACTTAATGAAACATTATATTCTGCTGCACCTTTCAAGCTCCATGAAATATGTACATAGTTTCCCAGATTAATGATAATATAATGGTATTTTCCTTTGCTTAATGGACTGTACACGTGGTTATTGTCTTGCTCTCATATGCTGTTAACATACATTTGGTATTAATGAAATAGTGTTAAGTAAGGCAGTAATAATCTGTTCATACCATTATTACTAGACCAGAAGTCAAAAGGGAAGCATGAGATTTCTGTACTTTTCTTCTAATTTTAATGTTCTGCTTTTCTGAATGAATTCAGCCATCCTTGCTGCAGCTACTCCAAAAGGTTCAATGGAGGTTAAAATGGGAAATAAACTTTAGCGTTCTTTAATTTAAAAAATGGTCTGCAGCATCAAGAAGGAAACAATACAGCCATTGTTATTTGGGGATGCAAATTGACGTTCCATGTTATCTGAAAAATTAAAATAGTGTCTGCTGAGCCATATAGTATACCTTCAAGAGCGATACTTTAAATTGCAAAATGTACTATCATGGTTCTAGAGAGACAGTTTAGTTGGTAAAGTTTCTGCTATACAAGCATAAGGACTGGAGTCATGATCCCCAGTATTCATGTAGAAGCCAGGCATTGAGGGCTCACTGGATTAATAGCTTAACCAAATTAGTTAGGTCTATATTTAGTGAGAGAGCCTGTCTCAAATAATATAGTGGGGAATAATAGAGGACAACACCCAGTATTAAACTCTGGACTCACATGTTCACACACATGTGGGCACACACACACACACACACACACACACACACACACACACACACACACACACACTGAAGGGGGAGCAAATATTCCAAAAATATGTTGGTTAGCTCTTAGCAAATAAACAGAAGTCAGTCAAGGACCTACAAAGATAAAAGGAATGGGAAACCTATGGGGTCTCTGGCAGGGCTGTGAATACAGGTTAGGAGTCTATCACTACAATGTGTGAGTCATGAGGACCTGCTGTCTAGTTCTAAAGCAGGTGCAACATGAAGTCATCACACCTCACATCCACTGTCTGCCATGGGGAAACAGTGTCCCTGATTCTTTTCCTACTTCAGGATCCTGTGCATGGATATTGCAATTGCACAGCCTGACCCAGACTAAAACAAAATTCGGCTTCTGGATAGTACAACCCAGAAATATCTGTGCATAGGAGATTGACAGGAGGGATGAGGAGATAACAGCAAGGCTGGTACACTGACTTAATGGATTACAATTACATCTTCTTTAGTTGTGGCATGCTTTTTTAAATACACCTCTCTTAAAGCAATTGTATTTAAGATCTAACATGTGATTTTTCTTTTTATAATGTTATTTTTAACAAAGACCAGTGAAGTTTTTCTCTCTGCTCAGGGTCAGGTACTATATGTCAATATCCAATTACACTGGTTTCTGCTCTCACATATCAAAAGTTGAACTCAGGGTTATTCACTCTTGATTAACAGTGATGTCTTTGGCTTATGATAATAACTGTGAAATGTTTTAAGTATTAAACGGAATGTATCAGTTATGTAAAAAGAGGTTAAGAAGCTTTGAATATTGTAGGAATGTTCCTTAGAATTTTTATTTTTGAGTAGTAAGAAAGGATATTTAGAACAACTGAATAACTGTCTGCTCAGAGGGTTTTAAAATGTTTTTATTAATTCCTTTGGAATTTCATACAATGTATTTTGCCCTTTCTTCAACCCCTTCCCTTAACACATTGCCAACCCTCCCATCCCTTCCCATCAAATTAACATTACTTCTTTTATTCTTCTTTCCACATTGAATCCATAAGATTCATTTTTAGGTAGGTAGATGTGTGTGTGTGTGGAGGGGGGTGCTTGGGGAAGTCAGAAGTGGGCGTTGAATCCCTTAGAGCTAGAGGTACAGGTGGTTGTGAGCCAGACTCCGAGTCCTCTGGAAGATCTACTACAAGAGGCCTCATAGATTTATGAGGCCTCCTCACTGACACCCACGTTCAGGGGGTCCAGAGGAACAAGATCTGAGTAAATTGGGAGTATGGGAGGAGGGAAGAAGGAGCTAGAAGAATGAGAATGGGAGAAGAGGAGGGGTGAGGAGGACATGAGGGAGCAGGAAGCTTGAGTTGGGGGAAGAATAGAGGAGAGCAAAATAAGAGATACCATAATAGAGGGAGCCATTGTAGGTTTAAGGAGAAATCAGGCACTAGGGAAATGCCCAGAGATCTACAAGGATGACACCAGCTAACAATCTAAGACTTAACCTTTGAAGTTCAAATCATTTTGCCTGCTTGCCTTTGCCAAAATACATTCAGAGACATGGACAAACAGCAGATATGATAGCAACTACAAAGTTTAAGTCTGTTGAAAGAATAAGCCTGTATAGAGAGTCACGCTTTCCGGTACAGCAGCCTTGTTCCACATATGAAGTTATTTACATAAACTTAATAAAAACTAAAATTCATTGCAAGTGGGGCTTAGTATTCCAAGTCCTACCACTCAGAAGGCTGAAAACAGAAGGGTTGTGGGAGTTTGAGGCCAGTCTGGGCCTCAGCATGAAAGTGTTTTTCAAAATAAATAGACAGATATAGATACAGCCTCTTTCATACATATGCTGCAGTTATAAGCTGGTAATCCCATGGGGAAAAGTGAAAATGTTATAAGTAAAAAATAAATTTATTTCTGACACCTGCCGTTCTGAACATATAGCTCAGCCTAGCCTTCCTTGAATGTTCTCAGACTACTTACATGAGCCTGCAGTCAGGCTAACTCCTTTAGCACAAAGCCGCACTTTCTTTTTTAATTTAAATTAGAAACAAGCTTCTTTTACAGGTCAATCTCAATTCCCTCTCCCTCTCCTCCTTTCCTGCTCCCCACGGACCCTCAATCCCATCCCCTTTCTGCTCCCCAGGGAAGGTAAGGCCTTCCATGGGGGATCTTCAAAGTCTGTCATATCATTTGGAGCAGGGCCTAGACCCTCCCCAGTGTGTCTAAGTTGAAAGAGTATCCCTCTATGTGGAGAGGGCTCCCAATGTTCATTTGTGTACTAGGAGTAAATACTGATCCACTACCATTGGCCCCATAGATTGTCCAGACCTCCAAACTGACATCCTCCTTCAGGGGGTCTGGAGCAGTCCTATGCTGGTTTCCCAGCTATCAGTCTGGGGTCCATGAGCAACCCTTTGTTGGGGTGAGGAGGTAGGTCAGCTGTTTCTGTGGGTTTCTCCAACCTAGTCTTGACCCCCTGGCTCATCACTCCTCCCTATCTGCAACTGGATTCCAGGGTTCAGCTCAGTGTTTAGCTGTGTGAGTATTTGCTTCTTCTTCCAACCCCTACTGGATGGAGGCTCTAGGATAGCATATAAGGCAGTCATAGACCTCATTATCAGAGAAGGTCTTTTAAGGTAGCTTCTCAACTATAGCTTAGATTGTTAGCTATGGTCAACCTTGTAGATCTTTGGACATTTCCCTGGGGCCAGATTTCTCTTTAAAAATATAAGGCTCCCTCTATGATGGTGTCTCTTTTCTTGTTCTCCTCTATTCTTCCCCTGACTAGATCTTCCTGTTCCGTCATGTCCTCCTCTCCCCTCCTCTTCTCCCCTTCTCATTCTCCTAGTTCCCTCTCACCTCCCTCATGCTCCCCATTAGCTCAGGAGATCTTCTCCCTTTCCCCTTCTCCAGGGGACCATGTATGTCTCTCTCAGCGTCCTCCTTGTTTCCTAGCTTCTCTGGTGGTGTGGATTGTAGGCTGCTACTTCTTTGCTCTGGATCTCAAATACATACATGAGTGAGTACATATCATGTTTGTCTTTTTATGATTGGGTTACCTCACTCAGGATGGTTTCTTCTAGTTCCATCCATTTGCCTGCAAATTTCAAGATTCCATTGTTTTTTTCTGCTGAGTAATACTCCATTGTGTAAATGTACAACATTTTCTCCATCCATTCTTCAGTTGAGGGGCATCTAGGTTGCTTCCAGTTTCTGGCTATTACAAGTAATGCTGCTATGAACATGGTTGAACAGATGTCCTTGTTGTATGACTGTGCTTCTTTTGGGTATATTCCTAAGAATGGAATTGCTGGATCTTGTGGTAGATTGATTACCATTTTCCTGAGGAACAAAACCCTACTTTTAATAGTGTCTTGATTATCTCATATCCTTTATTGTCTTCAGCACACTGTAGTGTATAGTTTCAGTTTCCCGTCATGATGCCCAATGTCATACAAAAGGAATGGCATTGTGTATCACAAGCTCAGAATATATCAAAACTAGAGGATGATTTTGATACCTGTACATTTCATTTAATAAGGTAAAAATTCTGAAATCCAGTCATCCTAAATTATGGGATGTCTTTAAATTTAAGGTTAATTTCATAGGCACACCAGCTACAGTTCCAATGCACAGTAGCTACATGGTGCTTGTGAAGCCCATGTTGAACAGAGCAGAACACTCAAATTAGTACAGAAAGGAACTGAGTTAATCAGTACTGGTCCAGAGAATTGAGTGTGCCAGCATGCACAAAAGAGAAACAGAGCAGTAAAAAATGGAAAATCAAAATTCTCTTGCAAGATTGAAGCTGAGAAAAGGAAGGTAGGCCAATACACTGGTCACCTTCCACCTTTATGTGTTTGGGAAGGACAAAGATGAGTATTTAGATTTACTCACTTCAAGGGTGTGATCAGGGACAACAACTTATCACATTTTAACAACCCCTGTGGACCACAGACCAAATTTTACTCACATGCAATGGTTTATATTGTTTTATCTCTGCTGTTTTGTCTCTGCAGGTATGCCATTGGCCTTGCATACAAATCAGCCCCCAAACATGAATGGATTGGGAAGAATTCTGCTTCCTGGGCCCTCTGCCGCTGCAACAATAACTGGGTGGTTAGGCATAACAGCAAGGAAATCCCCATTGAGCCAGCCCCCCACCTCCGGCGTGTAGGCATCCTGCTGGACTACGATAATGGTTCCATCGCTTTTTATGACGCTTTGAACTCCATCCACCTCTACACCTTTGATGTGGCGCTTTCGCAGCCTGTGTGCCCCACCTTTACTGTGTGGAACAAGTGTTTGACAATTATAACGGGTCTTCCCATCCCAGACCATTTGGACTGTACAGAACAGCTGCCTTGAGCATCCAACCCCAGAGCAGCTCTGAGGGATAACAAAGGTTGAGGCCACTTTTTAGGGGATTGAAAAACTAAGGCTTCAAGAGTGTGACTAAATCTCCTAGCTTGTCCAGAAACCAGCTAAGATAGGGCTCCAAATGAGAGATTTCTTTCCTTTTATTGTGTTTTTTATTAAGTACAGGCTTTAATAATTTCTTTGCTTTTTTGTATTTAGAGGAAAAATCTATAGATTATTTATAAAAGAAACATAATCTGGATTACAACTCTAAGGAATCACTTGGTTTTGTGCATTAAGATGCCCATAATCTTACCAGCCCTTTGCCAGTTTAATTTCATCAGTGTACGGACTTGCAAAAATCTTTTTGTAGATGTGTGTTTATTCACTTTCTATTTCATAATGAGGCCATGCTAGGTCCTGCCACTTAGAGTAGCAGAATATGCAGCTATCTAAAATTAAAAATCATTTTGAATCTAGTAAGGAAGTAAACAGACTTCCTTACTTTGTTTTAACTTGAGATTTTTAACTGTGATATCAGAAACTTGTATTGGATTGAATAGAATGGGGTTGAAGGGAGAAGGAAAGAATTAACTTTGAACCTCAAGCTTAGCTGTGACTGATGGGATGATCTGGGGAAGAAAAGGGTTTCTTAAACCTTTAGTCATATATTCATCCACTTCTCCAGGGCTGAAACTTTTGGGCTAACACCTTGAATGAAATAAGAGTTAATGCTATTTTGGGTTTTTTGAAATGTAGAATTCTGTTTCATGGTATAAAACTATTTTCCCTTTCTTCTTACTAGTTATTTTAGGCCTGTGAAATTCTTTCACTATGTTTAATAGATGCCCTATTTTGGCCTTTCACAAATCAATTTTTTTTTCTTTTCTTTCTGGGTCTATGGAAATTAGCATGTCCTGTCACAAAACAGCAATCCTGTGTTCAAATGATTTTATTCTCTAGGACATCAGCACATGGCCTTGAACACTACCATGTCCAAATATAAGTCATCAAAACCTGTATTTCTGAGTAATGATATGACAAATTACACAAAATACTAGTCACCAGTATACATGCCTCTAAAGTTACAGACTTGTAGCAAGCACACTTTGAAAGATGTAGACCTCCCCTTATATCCTAGTATAGTTTATCATAGAGTTTTAAGAAAAAAATCAAATGTACTGTTCCTATAGGGGAATCTGCTAATCAAATTTCAGATAAAATTCTTTTCATGCTGATCTAATACACTGCAATGGTCCCTGGATTAAGACTTTCTCAGGTGGTCTTTGACATGGGACATTGGCATGAGTTCACCTGCACAAATGGTTTCAGTGCTAAAATATTTATCTGGGCCACCACATCAGGCAGCATTGACTGAAAATACTGGTGGATTGAAGAATTTTTTGATGATTTTGTTTTTAATCAAATCAGCCATTTCCCAGAAATTACTCAATACACTCTCCATTTAAGCATCACATGATCACAATTGATATACTTGCCAATCTGGTCTTTATGGAAGATAAAGTCAGCTTCCTGTGTCTTTTTGTCTCTTCCCTGGCAGATGCTGTCCATTTTCTTAATGGATAGATTTTATATATTTACTATATTATTTATACCCAGATGAATATTTTGATAGCAGTTTAAGACAATGTCACATCTTAAAAATGGACACCTCAGTGGAAAAACTTTCATCTTTCTCTAGGAACTTCTTAGGCCTTTTTGACAATATAAAAGTATGTATTTGCCTTCCCTGAATAAACTGAAAAGTTGTCTCAGTCATTTTTATGTACATTTTGGGTAACTGGATAATAGATATTTTAATGCACTTTGTACACTTACAGGTTCTAAACAAAAGGATCTAAAACTCAATTTCTGAGTGTTTAAAAACTCATGGTCTCCAGGTAACAATAAATGCTACAGTTTGCCTTATGATGTGAACATAAAACATTTCCTAGCAGGACACTATTTCCATGAATATGTTTTTCGGTATAAAGATGTTACTATTCAGATTTTCACTGCAAGCTGTTTATGGTGTGTTTTGACTATTTTTGTAAGGACAAGGCAGACTATGTTATAATTTTGTTGTGGAAGTCTTACTCTTGGCTAACTTAAAAACATTGTGGATGTAGCAGTTACTATTTCCAGGTTGTCATATTTACAAGAAAATATGTATATGGTGAACAGCCACAGTGTTTAATTGTGTAATGATGTAGAAAAGATTTCTGTGTGGATTTTTTTAAGTCTAAAAATACATGATGTAAACATTTGCTGCAGTATAACTCTGCATTTCCTTTGAACGGACTGGGGCCACTCACAGGAAGCATTTCCATAGAGGGGCAAAAGAGATGGCAGTGCCAATTAAATTAGTACAGTGAAACTGATGAGATGCCAAAAAGGCTGTAAAGTCTTGGCACCATGTGTATGTGAATGACTCGGTTGCCAAGCGCCCTGAGTGCAGAAGAGCCTAAGCTTGGCATCATTCTCTCTCTTCACCATGATGAAAATCCTAGTGCTTTTTGAACACAAAGCCAGCATTTTCACTTTGCGCTTGACCCTGCATGTTATGTAGCCAGTCCTTGGAACAGGACTCCAAAGCATGGTACTGCTCTTCCTAATGGATAAAGAGAACATGGATCCAATGCTTGTTGAAACTTGCTTTAGATTCATATTATTCAAGTATGAATCTAAATGGTGGATTAGATGAGGGTAGGCGTAGGGTGAAGATTTTCTCTCCATCTTTAAAAGAAAGTGACTTCAGAAAGTGACTGCATAGATAATGGTTTCTTTGGGGGGAAAAGCAACCTGAATATGGATGGACGGACTTTTTATTATGGTACTGATAAATGGACCTTGAACTTCCTGAGGAATGAGCCAGTGCCCTCCAACTCAAGATGGATTTCTGTCTCAGCTCCAGGAGCACGTACAAATGGCTGCAGAGACATGTGCTTCCCTGTTCTGTGCATCTGGTGTTGGAAAGCTGACATCTTGTCTCTCTTGGTAAAACATCCATGGCATGCAGAGACAATGACACTAGCAAGAGAAATGTTTTGAAAATAGTGCTTCTCATCCAGGTCTTGATTTTGCTACCCAAGAAGACATTTGGCCATATCTGGAGTAAATTTTGGTTGTCGAAAGTTGGAGACATGTTGCTCCTGGCATCTGGTGGGTAGAAGTCAGGGATGGCATTAAACACTCTACAGTGCACAGTTAAACTCCTCACCAGAAAATGATATCTGGCTCAAGGTTTAGCCGTGTCCTAGGTTGGCTATGCTTGAATGTTGGCCTTTTTTTCCAGGGACAAACAAACAGAAAGGCACAACCGTCAATATCATCACAGGAGTGGCACCTTCATAATCAAAATTATTTACAAAATACTTGCAGAAAATCTGAATTGTAGAGCAATCTGAGACTGTGTGAATGCAAATTACTGAATTAAGTGCTGTGATCCTATGGTCTTTGTGTAGAAATGAGGTATTCTCTATGCCTCCTTGTACCAGCACAAATTCAATCCTGGTACTTGGGTCAACTGCCAAGCCCCTAAATCCTAAATCTCTTCTTGTTTTCTGTTGCTTCCTGGTTCAAAATAAAATCCTTTTGTGGCACCAAAACAGGTCTTTGCCTGGCTTTGTTGCCTTTTGCTGCTTTATGTTTTCACATTCATGACGGGCACAAACACTTCCTTGACTTCTACTTGTTTCTTCCACTATTTTATGCTGTGCAATTCATTTTGTTTTTGACACATGAAACTGTCATATCCACTGTCCACCCTTTTACATTCAAAATACAGTTACTTTACAAGACTGAAAATCTCCTACAGGGAATTTTAAAACACAATAAAAGAAACTCCTTAAGGAGTGGAAAGCTTGATGTCTAGTCTCACATGGGTAATAGAGAATAGGAGAACAGTGACTATCAGCCAAAAAAAAAAAAAACAGTGGTCTTTATAGTGTGGTGTGGAGGCATCCTTCCAGGTGGTTCATAAGTACATACCCATGACTATACCCATGCCAGGAGCCACAGGATCTGACTTGCATCTTAGACATGCAAGCACTTTTGGGATAAGCAGAATGAATTGGACAGAGCCACGGTATCAGGACCATCAAACACTTGTTGAAAGGCCTTTTCTGTCTCACTTCAGGCCTGTTAGTCAGAACCTCTGAAGAAGGTATCTAGCAATTTGAGTTCCAGCAAGCACTGCACTAGATTATGGTACTAATGAGAGTTTAGAAGACACTTCTCTAGAGAAATCTCCAACCTCATAGCCCATGTAAAAAGGTTTTTTAGTACTATTAAAGCAAAATGTTGTGCAGGGATTCCTCATCTGACTGTATGAAAATGTTCTTTCCCATACATGCTGATTTCTGGGTCCGACTCTGAAAGTTGGGAAAATAAACTAGCAGCATGTTCTTTTCAAGCACATCACTCTTAATCTCATCTAGGATTTGCAGTTAGTGCTATAACCTTAAGTTATAAGTGTGCCACTTTAAGGTTCAGATAGTGAACCTTAGGGTTTTCTACCACACAGTCTCTGCCATAACTCCTCCAGTCTGTGGTCATAGAAAATATGGTAGTGAATAGATATGATTGGGAGCCAATAAAATTTGTCATGTGAGACATAGTTTGCTGGCCTCTGCTATAGTAGAGTCTGTACTACCCAAAACCCTCGGGCATTCTATACCTTCTCACTCACTCAAGACTGGGCTGTGTCCGCTTCATATCTTGGTGAGCTCTAAAACTTCTTTCCAACACTGAATTCCATCAAGTCTATGAAACCATAGAACCCATGGAGAATTGTTTATGGGGCACTAAATACAAGGCTGGTCGATGGATATTTGGAAAATCCCTATTGACAAAACTAGGGCAGGGCATGCTTGTTCTAATGATTAACTTTACAACCTGCATAATTTCAACTCAAATCAGACTTCTCACAAGTGACAGGTGTGTAAAATATATTCCCTTTGACAAGCATTTTAAGTCCATTTCACTTGAACTTTTAAAGCTTTAGAGACACCATAATAATTAATATCCTTTAAATGTTAACTGAAGGCCATGTCAAGAAATTCCCAGGGCATCCCACATCCCATCCTTTTTGTCTTAATAAGTATAATATATGTAAGAAGGTAGTTGCACAAAAGGTGAGACATGCAGGACTTGTAAATTCCCTTTTCCTAGAGTATAAGCTTTCTCACAGAATATACATTTAGATGACAATGGCATCTAGGACTTTGTCCTACCTTAGTATGGGCCATCTATGGAAAGGAGTGCAGTTCTCTCTTTGCATATTTTTCAGTAATGTCCTCCTAAGAGAATTATTAAAGCATGATTAGATAGGAAGCATAGCAATTAGCAAGCAAATATGAAATATGTCATGGCCTAAAACCAATTACCAATTAAGAAATAGCACAGAAAATTATTTAATGAACATTGGTTCTTTTGCACAGTCTATTTATTCTCAAAGCTCAATTTTGATGATGGCCATTAAACGTGGTTCAAACTCACTAATGCAATTCAAGTACTAATAATGATTTTTCCCTTTAACTAATGGTGTTTTCCAACCAACTACTGACCTCCTTCACCTCTTCTTCTTGCTCAAGCTTCCCAAAGGGCTGTTCATGCCTGCTACTGCTCATTGCTCACCCAGCACTGCACCTCACTATGTGCCATCAGAAGCTCAGGGGATTTCATTACACCGAAATGTGCCCACTGATATGAGAAGTGATGCCCATACTTAGGAAAACAAAACTGCCTCAAGTATTCGCCTGTCCTCATCTTGACATACGACTGCTTTTTGATATATATTTAGCTAATTCATTTTTTAATCTTCCCATAGGCAATGATACCTCTATCATTGCCTAATCATTACTGTGTACAAAAACTGCATACACACACAAGTTCAAATCTCTAGGTCTGATTTTTCCTCTGGGCTCTGCCATATATGTTGGCCTTTTTTGGTCAATCATTTTTGGAAACCTAACAGCCACCTCAAGTTCAGTATTCCAGAATTGCATGCATGATCTCTGTTTGAAAACTTCTTCTAGCCAAAATCCATAGGTAGATTCTTGATGTCCTTCTAGTCCTCTGTGTCCGAGTCCTTTTGACTTTATCTTGTATGTCTTTGTATGTTTTTGACTTACTCCTACCTCTGCACACAACCTCCATCTCTTTCATATCTCCCAATTCTACCACTGAAGTGACCTAACTAGTCAAGAACATATTGACTGTATCAAGAACATATTGAGTACCTCTGTTTCTTGCTTGTTCAGTATCTCAGGTCACCAATTTTATGTTCCTGCCCTGCTTATTTGCATTGGCTGTTTCCTCTGATTCCACTATTGTTTCAGAGTCTGTTCTTGTGTTCCCAGGTCTGAATTTCCTTCTACCCCTTTCAACAAATAGGTCACATCCACATGTCCTCCCCCAAATACAGGCCCACCTGCAGGGAGTGGAAGAAACCCTGAATTAGTGAAGTCCAAAGTGAATGTTGATATGGTCATGGCTGTACTTAGGATTCCAAGACTTTGGACCCATGGGAAACTGGCGAAGCCATTCCTCATATGGGTCAAGCTCAGAAAGACAAAGTCTTCCTCTGTCCAAATATAAATGTCTATGGATGATTGATCAGTGTTTATACAAACTAGCAACTTCCTTCTCCAGGGTGTTTGTAGACTGAGACTTCTTGCCTACAGATATCCCCCTACTCAGACTCGATAACTCCTTCTCCTGTACTGTATATTAAATATGCCAAGGTTTTGAGTTGCTGCAGTAGTAGGTGAAGCTCCAGAGAGCACACCCACCTGACCCCAGGTTTTCCTTATACATGTTTGTGTGTCTGTCTACTCTTCATTCCTTCACAGACCCTAATCAGGGTCCCAGGATATGCTACTGGCATACACTATGTATAATCTATAAGAAACTCACTTGAAATAATGAAGATATAGGTTATTATCTTTTCTTATCTTGTTGTCTTGAATATAAACATTCATCAAAACTAGTCTAGAGTGGCTCTACTAAGAAAGGACAAAAAAACTTCTGAAAAAAGGACATTTGTATGAATAAAAACATTGCATAATAAAATATATATGATTCTTTGAGGCTTCATCAAACAACCTTTTGGCCTGCGATTGAGTCTTGGAACCTACAACATAACTGTAAATTGTTCTCTAACCTTCATAAAAGTTCTTGCACAAGTGTACACACACACACACACACACACACACACACACACACACACACAAGTGTTGTGGGATACATGATCACACTGTGAACACTGAATTTATGTTTGTGTTGATTAAATAAAATTAACTTTGGATCAGAGGAGCTGACAGAAAGTAATCATAGTCAGAGAGAATCTGGAAAATGGATAGAGATGCACAGGAAGTAGGAAGGAGGATTTTGAGTGTGGTGGTCTGTTTTTGGTTTGGAGCAACAGAAGAGACGTTCTCTTTCTGAGACACTGGTGAAGAAAGAAGATCAGCTAGCTGTTCCTCAACCTCTCTGAGCTAGCAGGTTATCACCCAAGCCTCTGACTCCCAAGTCTTTATTGATAAATAGAACTATCGAGATATACTTAAAAACTAAATCTGGTGGCAACAGCAGAAAGCAGATCCAGCGGGACCATTTCTTGAAAAGTGGGGCAATAACTGCTAAAACAGTTACTGAATAAAACAGCAGTAGATTCAAGTGCAGCCTCTGTGCCAGAGGAAAAACAGCAAAGAGAGACAAACACAGATACGTACGTCATATACCTTCAATAATAAATAAATAAGCAAATAAATAAATAAATAAATAAATAAATTCATTGAAACTGTTAACTCCATGGCTGTACAAATACAAGCAATAAGCAACATCTGTCCCTTTTGCCAGGCAGGATCCTGAAGGCAGGAGCTGATGCAGAGGCCATGAATGGGTGCTAATTACTGTCTTGTTCATCAGCTTGCTCAGCCTGCTTTCTTATAGAACCCTGGACCTCAGCCCAGGGATGGCACCACACACAATAGGCTGGGCCCTCCCCCATCAATCACTAATTAAGAAAATGCCCTACAGGCTTGCCTACAATCCCATCTTATGCAGACATTTTCTCAATTGATATCCCCTCCTCCCAGATGACTTGGGTTTGTGTCAAGTTAACATAAAACTAACTATCCAGCACACCTTGTAATTTAATCATCTGCAAGGCTGTTCTACTCAGACCAGAGAGCCCAGAATTATCCCCTGCTCTTGAATGTAAGAAGGCCCTGTGACTTGTTTCTAATAAATGAAATATGGCAAAGATGCTTGTCTAGACTCTACTATAGAATATTTGTATGAAGCTGTGCCTTGCTAGTACACATTAGCACAACTATCATGGCTGGCTATGAAGTAGCAACTGGACATATTGTGTGAGAGCCCTGTGGCAGTAAACATGGTGTGGCCTCTGAACCTAAAGACAGCTTTTAGCTCACAATTAGCAAGAAACTGGCATTGACCAGCCATTAGGAAGGTATTTTGCCAGCACTCTGAGAGAGCAGTAAATAAACAGTCTCCCTTAGTCAAGCCTCAGAAGAGAATGTCTTTCAACTGACAGGTACAGAAGCTCTCTGAGACCTTGAGCATAAGACTCTACAGAACC